CCGGTTGTCCGAGGCTCGGGAATGACCGGGCTACCGGTAGCCTGAACCACGGGCCTTAACAACCGGTAGGTACTGGTGGTTTGTTTGAGTCAGGTTTCTTTGCTGCCCCTTCAACACCAACCGCGACTGAGCAGTTCCTTGCTCAGGCTATCTACTTTGGAGTTAACCAGGCTCCCACTTTTACTCAGGCGGGCCTCTGGGCTGAGAGGTTCTTCTGAATAAGGTTTTCTCCGATATTATAAGCGAAGCTGGGTACAGATCCCAGTCATTCATTTTTTCCGCTGTAAATAATTAAGGGACGCTGGACCCGGTTTCCAGCAGGTGAAGCTCCCCACCAATGGACAGACAGGAGTCATCCATGAGGCCTGGGAGTGAGGGTACTGACACCGCAAAATCCCTAACACTTACTGCGCAGCAGATGCAACGGGCCCACTAATCCTCTTTAGGACGGAGTTGGAATTGCTAGGATACCTGGTGGATATGTGGACTCGGGCCATCCAGGCCGATAGTCGTAACTTTTCGGTACAACCCATAATAGACTGCATGATGGGTACAATGTATGGGGAAACAGGGGGACAGTATAAGAAACAGACTGTTTGGGACTCGCAGGGAAATAGGTAGGAAAGGGACCCACAGTGAAACTGTATACTCAGTTTTTTCAGAAGTTGTGCACTACCTTCTTCACCCGACTAGAATGCCCGGTCATTATAGCCGTATTTGGCACAACTTTCAGCCCAGATACGGCGATAATTACCAGGTGGTCTATTCGGGTGAAGACGGTAGGCGCCCGACGGGCAAGTGGGCAAGGGAAATAGCTGAGGTATGCCGACAGGCAGACCAAGAACAGGCGGGAAATTTGTACACTACAGCAGAGTAGAAAACTGTATACTTTCTGTCTACTTTTCAGCCCAAGAATAGTGATAGATTGCTTCCAGAAAACTAGCCAATTTAGTTAAGGAAGAGGGGTGGAACAATGATTTCTTCAAAATGGACATTTTTTATTCTTTGAACGCAATTGAAACCAACTAAATTGGCCTGATTGAAGTCGAAACTTTAGCTTTCGAGGGTACTGCGTTCTTAAAACGCCGTACCCCCTGGGCTCCAGCTACGTCCAGATACATCCAGGGGTTCCGGCATTCTTAAAACACGGTAACCCCTGGACTCCAGCTAAGTCCAGATATATCCAGGGGGTAGGGCGTTTTTTTAAGAACACTGTACCCTCAAAAGCTGAAAACTTCGACTCAATTGGGTGAATTTAGTTGGTTTCAAGTTCGTTCAAAAAATAAAAAATCATAAAAATGTCCATTTTAACAAAATCGCTGTTGTGGTACATCCTTCCCAAAAGGAAGAAATCAATGCCGCCTCCACTGCTTCCTCACTTTACGTGAGGAAATGACTAAGGGATGTGTTGGTCAAAATGGATCAATCAATGCTGATCAGGGGTCTTTCGCCCGGACGGAAGGAAGCGTGAGAGTGGGTTATTCTTGTAATATGGTTTTATCGACTTGCTGGTGGAATAGGAACCGAACTGACGCTCCCCAGAATAGAAGGAGCCTGAACCATTTAAAGAAAAAAAAAAAAAAAACTGTATAGTAGTGTATAGTACTGTATACGACAGTTTATTTTCCGAAATTGTACACCAGAGGCCCCGAGGGGCAAGTGGACAAGGCACTAGACAGAGGTAGGCCGACAGGCAGAAAGTAGGCGGGAAATTTGTACACTAAAACGCAGTAGCAGACATGGAATCATGCAACTGGGAAAATAGCACGACACAACGAGAAGACGAGATGAAGTTGTTGAACAGACTCGCCAAGGAGGAGAGAGAGAGAGAGCATGGCATGGGCAGGGAAGACGCCGAGTCACGCGGAACACCTACCACTGCCTACCTACGGTGTTTAAACGGGAATGTAGCCACTGGCCGACACTCACGTATGATGGCGGCGAGCGTGACAATCAACAATCACGCCGTGGAATGGTGGTATATGGGAAATCCACTTGATGAGGACATGCTGCATGAACATGAGGGTAAGTGCAGAAACTTCTGGACGGAATGTTCGTTGTAGCATGAATTGAATAGAATGGGATTGTACACTATGGATGGTACGGTGGAGTAAGGGTTTGAACTTCCAAATTTTTGAATTATTTGTGACCAATAGTTTTGAACTAGAACTAGACCTGGATCGACACTGATTCAGAATGGGGAGATCTGCTGGAACTCGCGTAGGATTGGATAAATAGGACTGTGGCGGAGAGCACCACCAGAGCAGTCACTGGCGGAGGGGTGGTGCAGTGCTGAGCTGATGCCATTCATTGTTCATGTTTGCTGTGGTAGTAAAGCCTCACGTGAACAATCACATGTTGTTTACATCTTCTTCTTACCACCACCGGATTGCAGGAGGCTGAAGGATGTTCAAATATTAAGAAAAGAAAAAAAGAAGTGGTGGGCAGGTGGGTGTGTGTTGGTGTGTGTGGGTGTGTGTGGGTGTGTGTGGGTGTGTGTGGGTGGGTGAGCGGTGGGTGGGGGTGGGGGTGGGTCTGGGTGTGCATGTGCGTGTGTGTGTGTATGTCCGTGCATGTCCTGTGTGTGTGACACTGTGTGTGTGTGTGTGTAAACACAACCCACAATGGTAACAATATCTTGCCAGCAGGCATCAACATTGCAATTCTACGCAACTTTAAGTCACACGGTACAATCATGTCAACACATACATTCCATTGCATCCTACACAGACAGGTACCAAATCGAGGAGCAACATTCATTAGAGCAAAAGCAGGGAGAGTTGAAGACTTTAGTATGGCATAGCAGCCATATGGGGCGTGGTAGCCTTAACAAGAGAGATGGGAGAGATAGTGGAAGGGAGAAAGGATGGCATAGGAGCCATTAGTGACATGGTGAAGTACCCATCCCAGAAAGGTGGTGCATCCCCTGAAGTGCTTTTCGCCACGAACAGCTCATCAGAGGGTGTAGTCCTCTCGCTCCCAATGGAGAGAGAGAAAAGGCAGAGAGTGGGAGAGTCGGGGGTATGGTGTAGCTGAGGGCAGAGACTTGCCATGCGAAGGGTATTATCAGCTTTCAACCTCAGCGAGGAGTATCCGACACAAGGTCTCTGTTGCCTTCTGTGCGATAGTGATTGCAGCAGGGTGGCATGTCTCCGGGTGATGGCGAAAGAAACCCCAAGAGGAGAAGATATGCAGGCACAGCACACATGAATGCACCAGACAACTCAGTGATGTCTTGCGCAGAGGTAAGGACTCGGCAACATCACACGTTTGACAAGTGGAGATGAAGAGAGCTTCAATGATGGTTCCCCCTAACGCAACGCACCCTCATTTTGGCTGTACCATAGTGGAAAGATAACTTGTACACATTCATTATCAGGGTGCATATGGTAGTCTGTCACAGTCACAAAACCCACTCTGCACGCCCTCTCAGCCAGTGTGTTGTGAACCATTCAATCAACACCCGCCTTTTTCTTCCCGCGTTAAGATATGTTGAAATTATTATCATGTTTGCTTGCTGGAAGTTTCTTCGCTTGTTTGTATCCCACTAACACATTTTGTGTGTGCGTGTAGAGGGGCGGCGGAGGGGGGGGGG